ATTATCTGGCTGGCTTGGCTCTCCTCTTGGATAATTCTCTTCTTCTTCCCCCATCTTCCTTCCTTGATCTTGTAGGCAGAGTTTTGGATCTGCCAATCAGTCCCACAGCTTCTCGGCTGGCAAAGGGGCCCTGGCATCTGGAGATAGGAAAATGAATAGACACAGAGAGCCCCCCACGCCAGTCAGGCCTGGGAGACCATCTCTCCAGTGGAACGGAGGGTCTCACGCTTACCAATTACTCAAAAGGATTCAAGGCAGATCTGCTTCGTCCCTTCAATCCAGTGGAATGTTGCCAATGGCTTGTCTAAGGAAACCGTTCCAAGTCTCGGCTTCTTGCTTTCCCGCCATCCAATCTGCAGGGCAGGCTTGCTGGATTGATGCGCTCACCCACCACCAAACCATGAATTCCATTTTCCTGCCCGCCACAGCGCAGCAAATGCTGAGGCTAATTACTATGATAAATCAAGCCTCATGAATATGTAATGAAGCACAATTTATTTTCCATTACTACAATTGCAGTTGATCAATGTTTTTTGGGCTGTGAAGTTTCTGGGCAAGTTGTCTCTCAGACTTCTGCGGACGGAGAAGCAGGAGCGTTCGCTGCTCCACCAGTTTTCACCAAGGAAAGGAAGATTTGACCACGGCTTTTAGGAAAGTCAGCGCATCCTTAGAATCCCCCGTCCCTCTTTCTTTCCTTTTGGGAAGAGATGGAGAGGTCAGTTTGCCAGCAGCTTCATTCCAACGTTGGGATCATGGTTTATTCGGAGGAGTTTCAAGGAAAGGAGGAAGGGAGGGAGGGAAAGAAGGAAGTCAGAAATGTGCCTTTTGAAAAATTGATCTAGAACCAGAAAATTAAATATATTTTAGAAAGTAAAATAATAAGCCTTGAAGAGATAAAAGAATAATTCTTCCAATGGGAATTCTTTCACGTCTCCCAGAGGAGATGGTTTCCTTCCTGGCCTTTTGGGCCAGAGGTGGGAGTTCATTTGGGACATCCTGCAAGAGAAAGTTGCCACTTTTCAAGAATTCCAACTGGTTTCCTCAATGCAAAAGGGAAAAATCAGGGCCTCCCTATAAGCGACGGGAGCATCTGTTTTATTCATGAGAGGATCTCGCAAATCCACATATCATGTTAAGAGGTCACAGCACTGCATCGCTTGGAATCCTCTCTGGCCGGCCCAAATGCTGCCTTTGCTCAGCATGATTCACACCTCACATCAAAGGAACCCACAACCCACTAAACCCTACAAAGAAAGACCACACCAAAATAATTGCAACAGAGCTAAGCATTTTGTAGAATCGCAGCTCCTCCAGCTTGACCTGAGCTGCAAAGCATCTGGTGTGAGCAGAGTCCATTAGTTACATTCCAGAGGGACTGAAACAAGACCTAGAGAGCATCTCCATGAGCACCACCAAGCCCACCATGCAGGAAGAGAAACTTTTGCAGGCCAGGAAACAGATACTGTGCGCCTGATTCCCTCCCCGTATTTTTTCCTCCCTGAAACGCGGCATAGCCCCACGCGTGAAGTAGGAGGAGGAGGAGAGAAACCCCAGAGTTTTATTCCCACTTATTTGCTTTCCCTGAATTCCTCTCTGAGGCTCTCTCCCACCAAGGAAGCCTTCTCCGTCTCCAATGTCCTGGGGGTCCCTCAGCCCGTTCTTCTTTGGGGTGCCTGGAGAGAAGCAGCCACCTGTTTCTGCAGCTGTTCCAGCAGAGTGACGGGAAACCCATCCTAGGAAGACATGGCATGGTGACAGAAGGGAAAGCCTGGCGTGGGACCAAGGCATGCCGGCAGTGCCTCGGTTTCCCTTACAAGATGCCCCCCAGCTCTGGATTCCCAGCACGGCTCTGCAGAGGAGGAGGAGGAGGAGGAGGAGGAGGAGGAGGAAGAGGGAGAAGGAGGAGGAGGAGAAGAGGAAGAGGAAGAAGGAGAAGAGGAAGGAGGAGGCTTCAAGGCTGCCCAGCTGCTCCCAAGTTGAGGTGCCAAGGCAGGAGACGACAACTGGCCAAGGTTCCATCTTTTCCTTTTGCAGCAAGCCAGAAGGATCTTGACGTGATGGTGGCTGAGACATCTTCCAACCCCTTCTCTCTCGTGGCCTTCACTCCCATGCCTCCCTTTCTTTGAAACTCACGTTCTTAGATGCCCCTGGAGATGTTATTGCAGATGAGCTCCGCTCTCTGAGGGGATTCGCACCCATTGGGGGCATCTTCCAAGAAAGCATGCAGGGCTCTGCCCTTTGGGGGTGGATAAGGGACCTCTTAATGGCTTATCTGGAGAGATCCAATGGATCAGGCCATGAATAGATGGGAATAATTACATAAGCCAGTATCTTGTTTCCAATCGTGGCTAACCAGATGCTTCTGGGGAAGCCCACAAGGAGGAAACAAGGGGCACGTTCTTCTCCGTGGGTCTCCTCCCCACCACCAGCGTTCAGATGGACCATCTTTGAGGCTGGAGGGATCCTTCCAGTGAGCCACCAGCTGGATCCCTCTCAGGAATTCTCCGAGCTCCCTTTCACAGCAGCCTGAAACCAGGGTTCACCGTGCGATGTTGAGTTCCTTGAGTTAGTTGATTCTACAGTATCTGGAAAAGAGTTTCTTTAGGAGAGAACCTCCATTGGAGAGAGTTTCTTCAGGAGACAAACTGTGATGGCGCAGTGGCCAGAGTGCAGTACTGCAGGCTCCTTCTGCTGACTACCAGTTGACTGCAATTTTGCCAGTCAAATCTCACCAGGCTCAAGGTTGACTCAGCCTTCCGTCCTTCCGAGGTGGATAAAATGAGGACCAAGATTGTTTTAAGGGCAATATGCTGACTCTGTAAACCGCTTAGAGAGGTCTGTAAAAGCCCCGTGAAGCGGGATATGAGTCCATTGGAGGCTATTCCGTTCCACCCTGGGCCAGGAAAATGCCTCTCTGCCTGGTACATGGCTTACAACTCACATATGTGGCTGCTTGAAAATCCTGAAGTCTCTGCTCTGTCTTCATCCCTGGTCAAGAAGTGACCACTTGACAGAAGCATTCTGAGATTAGCTTCTCAGTCCGGATGAGGTCAACCGAGTGCTACGACCCAAGCTTAATCCAGCTGAAGTTCTCAAGATCTTCCAAAGCTGACTGGGAGCGCCAGCGTTTTGCTCCAAAGGCGTCTCCAGGAAAGGCTCCCTGGCACCTTCTCCCTCCTTCTTGCAGTTTGGACCCTAGAGTGGTGGTGGAGGCTCTGTGAAACCAGACTGTGCCTCAGGACAAGGATCGTGTTAAGGACCTTCCCCTTTGCTTCTGGGTCTCTGCAAGGGAGGAATGGGGAAAAAAATCAAGATGGTGCTCACAATCTTGGATTTGATGCCTCGCCTTCTTTTATGCGCTCTGTCCGTGTGCCATTATGGCGCCATCTTGACTCCTTCACCGCAACCTTCAGGCATGTCCACATGCAGGTTTCAGCCCAACTCGCTTCTTGTGGTGTTAATTAAGTCTTCGGTTCTTTTCTCCCGTAGCGAGAAGACGATGGGAAGCGCAAGTGGTGTGCCATGGCTTTGCCGTGTAATTAAAATATCCTTCCCCTTGTTCAGACTTTTAGCGGTGACAGCAGCAAGGACGATTAGGCGACGTCCATGCACGCTGCTGAGCCAGTGGAAAAGAAAAGCCTTCGTGGCGCATTTCAGGCCATTGATGGCCTCTGCGACGGAGACCAGGTCTGAAACCCAGGATGGCCTCGGCAGGGAGGCAAATCCTGCACTCAGGAAAGGGAGGGAGGGGGGCATAAATTATGACCACCCTGAGACTTTCTGAATCACTAGAAAGCTTCTACTTCAAGCCTTGCATGTAGAAAGCTAGAACTCCTTCCTTGTAGCTCAGCCTCCTTGCTTCACGTAGGATGATTTTGACCCAAGGAAAGGCTTGAAAACGGAAATATATCCCTCCCACATGATCCCAAGTGTTGAACCAGGCTCGGCTTCTCCAAAGACAGACCCCCAAGGTCTAACCGTATCTCCTTAGTTGTTCTTCTTAGCTCATTGCTTCCATGTTTTGAGTTCCATCAAAACGAAGAAAATTGTGCCCTGGAAGAAAAAACGGGGCAAAGTGGGGGAAAGAGAAGAGCTCTCATTATTGCAATGACAGCAAGACTCTTCCTTCAGGTGCCAGCAGATCTTAACCAACCAGCTGTGCCCCTCTGTGCGTGTGTGTGCGTGTGTGTGTGTGCTTGCATGCATGCAAGCAAGAATAACATAACCACCAACAGCCTTTGATGTTAATCTTTATATTTTCCTTTCTTGGGTTGGCGTCACTTTGGACAATCTGTTTGGCTTCTCCCTGTCTTGGGAGAGCAGAGAACGGGGCATCTGATTAAACCGCAGAGCTTGGGAGTTTTGCAGGAGAGCAAGCACATCGCTTGCCAGAGCAGATCATTTTTTTATGGAAGGCAGGAGGTGAAGCCTTCATGGGCAGCCCACACTCTCCCTTTCGCTCTTGAGAACAGTTAAATTCTCAGCTTGTTGGGTTTCGGGATGGAAGGGGCTTCACTCTGATAGAGAGGAACCACTGGGGAGGGGATGAAGTTGGCAATTTGTGCAGTCCGCAGACGGCCTAATTATATCCATGCACGGGGAGCAAGTTGAATCCAGTGGAAGGTTCTAGAAGTGACAAACCAGAGAGATCCCGGCTCTCAGTTTCCCCTTCAGCCTCTTCTGCCAGCTCAAATGCCCATCAGAGCAATGGGGGAGGAAGTGATCCACCTTCACTCGAGGGGGGTGAGAGTCACGGCTATGTTCTCCAGCGCTGGGTGCTCACAAGGACTCTGTGTGAGCTGAATAAATGTTGAAGGGTGGGTGCAGGGATGGGGGGGGGAGAGAGCAAGGAGTGGTTGGGAGAACAGAAAGGAGAAGAATCCAGAAAGGCCCGGAAGGGGGGTGGGGAAATATCCATGTCCTTTTTGGGTTTTCTGCTTCTTAACTGGTCCCTGATGATGCTCTTAATGCATTTATCTCCTCTCTGCTTTCCCCTACAGGTTATAACCCTGGAAGGATGGGTTGACATCATGTATTATGTTATGGACGCTCACTCTTTTTACAATTTTATATATTTTATACTACTTATAATAGTAAGTATGGGGAGGGACAGGGGGCTGTCACTCGGGGGAACCCTTAACAAAGGGGACCATGGGGGGCCAGGCAAAGGACCCTTTGAGGCGAGGCATCTGCAGGGTTGGGGCATCCAAGATTCAAGATGGTGGCAATGACTGTACAATCATTGCACAGTTGTACGAGCCCTGCCCCCCCCCCTTTTTAAATCACCCTTTCTGTCCGGGTCAATGATCTCCTCATAACATCTGCTGTGGCTGCGGAAAGCTACAAACCTCTTCCAAGTCCAAATTTCCTCGTGGCTAGACTATCCCTACATTCCAAAAACCAGGTTTCCCATAACCAAGACATGTTGTAATTCCTGAAAATCTACTCTCAACACTTTGAGTGGTAGCAGCTTGTTTGAAGCACATCCAAGGTTCCAGCCCATGTGAAATCTGCCAAGTGGGCCATTAACAACTTCCACTAGCAATAACACACACACACACACACACACACACACACACACACACACACTCAGCCTTTATGTCTGCATTAAGCTTTCCTTCATGGTGGTTTACATTAAGAAGCTAAGCGGGAAGTTCGTTCACATCAGCGGAGTAGCACAAGAGAGAAGCAGACGGGGTTTTCTTGGCAGTATCTCTGGCTTCTCCTGGCTCCAAATATCCCAGCGCTTTTGTCCAGAAAAGGCCCCATTTTCACTGGGTGGCCAGTTTAGCCCCAGTTCTGCCTTGGCCAGACCCTCCTTGGAGGCCTGTCTCTCCTGGGGTGGGCACCACAGTTCCCAAAGGAGAATGGAGCCATAGTTCTGAGGAGGAGTGATGTAGAGTGACATTTGGGAATGGGGGAGGCCTCATTCCTTGGATACATTAGGGGTAGGAATAGGAACCAGTTGTGTGTGTGTGTGTGTGTGTGTGTGTGTGTGTGTGTGTGTGTGTGTGTGTGTTGGGAGGATGCTGATTTCAGACTATTTAAAGAGCATGAGTCGTGTTGCAGTAAAAAGGATAGACAGTTTGAAGTGCACGAAAAAATCAGGTTCTGGATTAGGCTCTTGAACTAACTCAGGGATGTCGGAGGAGGGGCAACCCCCCCCCCCAAACAACCACCTGATTGAATCCCCACTCCTATTTTACAAGTACCCCTCTTGGTGGTCCTTTTCGGCTGACTACCAGCTTCTAACACTCCTCCTCAATCTAAATTAGAGATGTTCAACCTTGAGAACTTTTAAGACTTGTGGACTTCAATTCCCAGAATTCTTCAAAGACCCCGTTGATAGAACCTCTTCAAAGTTCCATTGGTCCCGAATATGTTTTTACTTATGTAAGAAAAGTTAATGAAAAGAAGACTCAGTTGCCAGTGGTGTTTTCCAGAGCACCAGCAGCTGGCCATCCTTAAAATTTCCCTTTCAGGAAGAAGAAGAGGAAAAAAGTTGCCATTATGATTACATTGGTTGAGTTCACTCAAGGTGCCTTTCTTGGATGTCCCAAAGGTGTTTTTCCCCCCAAAAAATATCTCTGGACTTTCTTTGTTTTGTTTTTCCTTGAAGATATTTCACTTCTCATTCAAAGAAGTTCTGAAGCTTCTTGGATGAGAAGTGAAATGTCTCCAAGGAAAAATCTAAGAAAGCACCTTTGGGACAACCATGAGCTGCATGACACTCTCCATAGACACTTTCCTTGGGTCAGTCTTTTTCCTTGATTGCCCATTAGGTCAGCCCAATGGCTGTGATGGAACACCAATGCAGAGCTTGGCTAAAGTTGACCAAGGTCAACTTTAGCCAAGCTCTGCATTGGTG